GGGTCATTTCTTCTGCGCATGTAAAAAAATTTCGATTTAATTGGGGTTAACTGACTATTTGTCAATCGGAAAACAAGAGCAACATGAGGGAAGCACAAAACCCTTGAAAGTCATCATTTACATTTTCATTTGAATGAAGCAAGAAAATGTTTCCTGTTCCTGTACCAATGCTAACAATGGACTTACAAATAAGCAGTAGAAGTCAGCGCTATGGCATGGCTAGCAGCGCAAGCCGCGGCGCGAGACTTATCTGCGCCCTCTCGGCGACAGAATGTATAAAAGCATGCTCCAGCTTCTCCGCATATTGAAGCAACAATTCTAGACCGAATTCGAGTGGTAAAAGAGGTCGATAATAAATTTGTGGATGGTGAGTGGAGTGCAAATGAAAAAAAGAAACGAGGAAAACTGCCGATGAAGCCTTAAACAAGGACTTCCCTCTTTCCCCTTGAAATAATCCATAAGGAGGTGGTGGGGCCGGACGAGCTGCCCGAATTCGCTTGCTCCGCCAGCATTTATTGCTGGCTCGTGCCAGCAAGAAATGCGGCTGCAATCGCATATGCACCAATACAAACAAAGAAATACGATAATCAAACGATTCAAGCAAGTAAAACCAAACAAAAGTAGGCGGCATTCCTTGAAACGCGGAATAGTTTCCATGCAATCGCGCAAGGACCACGTAACCAAAAACACGGTCTCTCTCGTTAGCAGGTGGGCGAAACAATGTATAGGGTGGTTCAATGGCCGATGTCAGACTTTGCGATTGGAGCGATTTTGCACCAATTGCAGGAGCGACGGATCGCTTGAGCGATGCGAGCGACGGGAGATTTACCCCGCCGAATACCGATACACACGGCGCCGCTCGGGTAAATCTCCCGTCGCTCGCATCGCTTGAGCGATCCGTCGCTCCTGCAATTGGTGCAAAATCGCTCCAATCGCAAAGTCTGACATCGGCCAATGGCGTGGGCTATATCCAAGTCCCTTAAAGCGGTTTTCCGAGGTGAATTGTGTGCAGCGATTTCTTATGTTCTTGACTGGACGAGGGCACGCATCCTTTTCACCCTATTATTATTAACAAAAGTATGGATCCCGCTGGGACATTGCCCAGAAGCAATTCTCGCAGCAGAAGTCGCATCGAGCAAGCACGATAATGACCCTAGGACCCTACTAAACAAGCAGTTGACGACTAATTTTTGCATTCATCCGAGTTACGTAGCGCACACCATTTCATACGCGTTATGGATGACGGCGTAAAGGCCCAGTTTGAATGCGCGCAGATTTAGCTGGGCCGTGGAGCAGATAAGCTTGTACAACTCGTCTACCCCGCCCCTTCCTTTTCAAAGGAATTCTTGTTTTGGCTTCATCGACGGTTTTCTTTGCTTCTTTTTTCATTTTTAGTCAATTCGGCATCCACAACTTCATTATCAACCGCTGTGACCCCACAAATTCGATCTGGGGTTGTTGCTTTAAAAGGTTCGCCATACCCTCCACTCCCTGAACTGGCTGTTTCCCCCTGGAATACAGTTCTCGTCGCACACTAAGGCCGATGTCAGACTTTGAGAATCGAGCAACTCGCTAGTAGCAGAACACTCGATTAGCAAAGTCTGACATCGGCCTGATGCTATCGCTATTCCGCTAGGAAGGGTGGACAGATCGCAATTCGCAACTGCGACTAGCATCCCCCCTCCTTGTGCCCGGAAGCATTCAATAGCTCCTACAGTTAGGACAGTTTTCCTCTGCAGGACTGGTGCTGTACAGTGTGGGCTTAGCTGTAACTAAACTCATTTATATGGTGCCTGAGGACTGATAGAAACTATTTTGCACAGGTGTGGTTAGCTTGGAAAGAAGCGAATTTCTGTTTTTCGCAGCGCGAACTTTTTTCGCTGCAAGAACCAAAAAAGCGCAGCTATCAGGAAAGCGACACAACAGCTCATACAGCGAAATCAAAGGCAAAAAAATTAGTCAGGCTAGAGCAACGCCTGCAGGAACCAAAGTGAATGTATTTTATAGGATACATTTACAGCTCATTCAACTTTTTAGTTTCTCTACATCACGATTCCGAAGCCATTTCTCACTGCGAAAACCCGAATTCAAGGAAACAACAGCATAAAAGCCGAACGTGGGAGTGTAGATTAATGAAAGCAAAACTTACTCCTTGAGGCCACATGGAAAGCTGAACTGCCGAACACTTTTTAGTGCATGCTCATCGTTGTAATCTTCTGGATATTTTGTTAGTATCACAGGAAGGCCGTCTTGTCCGCCAGCCCCAACCTCACAAAAGACATCGAACAAAGTAGCCATATCACTTCTGCAAACAAAAAGAAGCCGACTGATATGGATACGGTCAGCAGGAAGATCTGAACACTTTGCTAAAATTTACCGGTGCCTGGAGGAAAGGGCTACGTTGGCCGACATATTGATTTAGAGACGGAGTAGCGATGTGATTTACTCGTACTATGTGGCGGTGGATCCAACTAAAGCAAATCGAAATGCAATCACATTTCGGCAGCAAGAACAATAAAATTTACGACTGGACCAAAACACGCGACATTATAAAACAAACTGCGTAATACTCATGTTAAATAAGCGGATACAAATCTTCTTTCAACTGCCGAAAGCTATCCCGTAAAATAGATAACATTAGCCGCATAACACATAACAGAATGGATACAGTAAATCCTTAACACAGTCAATCTACTACTAGTTTTTTCTCAAAGGTCTCACTACGTTCACACTCTGACAAACATTGTGATTATCCTTTGTAGCTGTCGAGTGGAGACAGAGTGAATAAAGGATTGAATATATTTGACTTGGAGCCGGTGAGCACGACTGCGGCACACTAGCTCGATGATGTTGAATCTATGTTTTCCAGTGTTATCTATCATAAGCATTCGTTTCCTGCCTTGTGATGGTTTTCTGCTCTGAAGTGCTGTTAGCAACAGCCTTGCTTTTTCGTAAAATAGTGTGCAAGCCGTGTCTCAATGCGATATCTATGTATGTCACCATATACAAAACTTTGTCTGAATTAGGAAGTGGCTATGGTTCGCCTTTTTTTGAGTTAGCACTATAAAAGCTGTTAGTCCAGAGAGATCTGAGACGTTGAAGTCAAGTAAATTCTTATAGTTTAAATCTATTGTTGATACACATTTTCCGCTGGACTACATCAATTTCGATATATGTTTTAGGCTGCTTGAACGTTTTTTTTTTCGGTGAAAATTACACGGTTGGAGAAGAGAAATCAGTTTATATATTAAACACGATAGTTTCGAATACAGGAAAGCTTTGAAAGGGTCTGTCTACGTAAAAGAGCAGCATTTCAACAATCGGCACAAATATAACGGAAGATCTCGAAACTAGTTAGTAATGCTTTCTAGCAGAAACCTTGACATACTGCGTATGAAACGAGCTTCTATGAAATGAGCAGTGTCGATTGTAATGGAGAAAAATGATAACAATGAATGGGATCTATGATGAATCATCACGTGCACGTGAAGGAAACATGCTGTACCACATCTGCCGCTACGCGACCGCACTCGAAATGTTCGTATCTGAAACTCCTTAGAAAATATTACGAGTATTTAATTGATCTAGTGTCTTCTTGTGCGGATTCCTATTATCCTGTGTTGCCGTTGTTTGAATTTTTAACTCTCACATAAACTCTTCGGTCATCATTTTGCATTCTGATGATTTCATGAGGTTTACCATCATTTTTATCTACAGGTTGGAGCATGGCCCATCTCATCACACCGGTTGATATACCCGGTATTGTTAAAGACTTTCAAAAAATCGTGGTTGATCTGAAGGAAAGTGAAAAGGTATGCATGTATACAATTTAGATTCTTTATTTTTATTTTCCACATATCTATGATGATGTTTGTTGTTAGATCAATCGTTCCCTGTCATATGCTCACCGTGTCGCGGACGTCATTCAGAGAAGATGTGGTGATACAGCGATGGTTAGTATGCTACACTTGATTTATCAAGGTTTAAAACCTTGACAGTTTCCCGCCATTGTTCTATCTTTTTACTTTTTCTTATGACATTTCAGCGCCATGTTCCTGGTCAAGACTTCGAGGAGCACAAGAAGAGCAGGAATAGGCAGGTTCGTCCAGGCTTCATCATTTCTTTTTTTGCGCTTTTCGACATGGAAGGATATCGCTGCTTGGGGTCCTTTGCGGTGAAGTCATAAGTTGCTTCGAAGTTCAAGTGTGGAGTAAGGGTGGTGTCAGAGTCCGCGATGCGTCGCGCGACGGATCACAGAAATCACAAGTGCCCGATCAATACTGCGAAGGTGCTCTCCAATCCCGCCGCCATGCCATTTCTGCTTGATGGTGATGGTGAATGACGACTGTTCATGATTCTACTTGTTTCATATTCAGTGTTTCAAATGTTCAATGGGCACTTGCGATTTTTGCGATTCGCGCGAATCGCGCGACGGATCGCAGACTCCGACACCAGTCTACGCATACTCCATACTCGAACTGCAAAATGTGCCCCGATCTTGATTCTTAATGCACCTTCTTGCCAATTCCAAACATGCGTAGAAGTGCGGTCGTACTTTGCGACTGCCTTGCAATTTGTCTTTAGTTCAACTGTAGAGCAGGTACGTATTGCTTATGCGATCGCAAGATCAAAGATCGACGCGTATCCACTTCAAACTCGAACAGCAAGATGGTCGCAAAGTATGGCCGCACTCAACAGATACACTTTGGAGAACCGTCAGGGGTACCTCTCAGAACACTTCTTCCTTCAGGGGCGTGCTGCCTACAGAACTTCCATGGGCGCAATGTGGATCGGGACAGCCGCCGCGCGCGGCGTTGCGGCAACAGGAAATTCGTGAGCCAGGGGGAATGTAGCCAATTCAGGGGGGGGTTGGGGGTGAGGGCAGTCACTTAGACATGCGTGAGAAGCTGGAATGTTCGAGTTACACTACATCGCTGAGCCGCGCGCGGCGACTGCCCCCCCCCGAGCCACATTGCGCCCTTCCATGTCTTCGTGTGAGCTTTAAACTGCCAAAGGCTGTCTTTGTCTAGTGTCAACATGCAGCAATGTCAGCTCGAGAATGGGTGCAATAAGGAGTAAGAAATGTTTTATTCATGCTTTGGTGCAGCGAATGAATCCCGCTTCCTTTTTTTTTACCACTGAAGCGTTTCTTCATAGACGCTCAGTGATTTCCCTTAAACAGCGTAAGGTTGAAATCGTAAAAATTTGTTAGTATTATCGCTAGTGTCGGCCTGCTAATAAGCAGTCAGTTTTCTCGTGCTTTACAGTCGTTTTATTTCATTTTGTTTTCATAATTATTCTAGGCCTCTGTTCATGATGAATTATTATCCTATTTTTACTGCACATGCTTCTACTTGTACATTTCAAAAATACTTTATCGTTTTCTAGCTACGTGACTTGGATAATGAAAATCGTCAACTGCGACAGCTCTATGAAGACTCACAGTGGACCCTTCATCTAGTTATGGAAGCACACCGAAGGTTAATGGAGGCAACATTCGGGAAAGATAACGACTTAGCTGCGTCAAGAAGACGGAGTGAGGAGGAGGTGGTATGTCATTTCGTTACCCTACCCCTGCTCGTGCAATAGTTATGGCAGAGACTTTCAGGAAAATATCAAACAGGAATTTTACTTTAATGCGGCACGGATGACAAAAGCAGTGCATGACGTTTTCGAGCATGAAAAAGCCATGTCAGGAAAGATACACAAGGTAAGTGCTGAAGTTTTTGTTATGTTCATTTTGTATATTTCTCTGTACTTTTGCGTGTTCACGCTCCGGGATATAAGATTTGCTAGTCATAAATTCTTTTGTTTGTTAATAACTTTAGGGGAGGAGGGGGGAATTCTTCCGTGAGTAAAAGCAAACATTTAGTGAAGAGAAAAATGGACATAGCTGTAAGTTAAGAGAACTCGATCGAAGTAGTTATCCCTTATCATACGCGTTTCGGCTTTTCTACTGTCGCCTTGTTTGGCGATTTCCTCAGTTTCATCCGATGATTGTAGATGGAAGGATGATTACAAAGAAATTATGGATTGTTTTTCCATCGTTGCCAACGCGTACGCTTATTGGGAAAAGGCGCAAATTTAATTCCGAATACTGGATAGATTTCGCTTGAGAACACATAACTGTAGTCAGCGTGGGCGCTGTTAGAACAGTGGCTAAACACTCGTTCACTACAGGCTTAACCGAGGTGGGTGAGCAGAGAGGTAATGAAAGAGCAGGCTAGTTGCTGTGTTGTGCCTACATTTTTACGAATTTTCAATAATATGTGTCGGTAAAGAACACTTTCCAATTAGGGCGGATGAAAACCGCGTTTATCTTCTGAAGTAATGTTGTTGCAAAAATCGTTCCAAAGGAAAATCCTTTTTGTGGGTCGATTCCCGAAGCAGACTACTTATTTTGTCACTATTGAATAACTTCTACTGGTCTGTCTTACTTCCTTGTATTTTATAAGATTATCCATTTCCAACGGTACTCTTCATCTGGTCAGGGGAGCAGCTCGAACTATTACCTTGGTAAAACTATTGGGAGTCATGCAATTTTTTTCTTTTCAGAGGATGGAAGAGCTACGGGTAGAGAATGATATACTCAGGTGTATTCTGGACAGTGAAGCTGGAGCCGATATTCAAAGTATCTACGATCGATTAGAGAACAAGTATGTTTTGATTTGTTGCTAGCGTAGGCTTGTCAGTACTTATTTTGCGGCACTCTGGTGATTGCAGAACTCCCAAACATTCTCCAAGATGTTCGCATGACGATTCGAACGAATCCCCTTGCGATCACGAGAATAGCGTCGATCGAGACGAGGAAGCCACACCAAGGAAAAAAGTGAGCGTCGTTCTGAATCCGAACGCAAACTAAGTGTTTCCACTTTACTCTCCCATCATGATCTTTCTTTTGTTCAGTTTTCGTTCCTTACAAAGAGCTATATGGGTAATTATTAACCGTGCGTTTTCGCCAAGGTGTTGTGAATGTTTTTATTCACAAGAATTGTCAATTGTGATTCTCTCACTTCCACGTAATTCATCCTCTGTACACGTCCACTTTTCTATGTCCGCTCAAGCGTTTTATGAGGTCAGTGGCAAAGCTATATGGTGGCAGCATGTTAACCCACAAGGCTTATGACCGCCTAGTGAGATTTCATCAAATTGCCTAGCACATTTTGTAAGTGGTCAGTGATTAATCTTGCCTGACTTGAGAAACTCACGAACGTTCTGGTGACATATGGGGATCCGTATTTAGCCGTTAACCGTTTTCTTACCTTTGCTGCTAGAAGTTGGGAGTAACACACCTGGACGCTCCACACATTAGGAATACTTTTCGTGCGGCAGGGGTTGACATCAAGTTTTACGCCCACGCGATTGATGTTTGAAGTCCTTGTAACCTATGGTGTTGTCCAGGAATCGTGAATGACGAGTGTTCCCGTTGAATGTGCCAGGAAGATAATGCTAAAACTAGTGCCTCTTGCGTGTTTTCAAATGTTTGCACCTGTTGTGGATATTGATTTGAGTGGCTTATCACTTCGTCGAGTCCGAGGGTTAACCACATTCCGGCCACTGAGTAACGAGCCCTTATCCACGTACGGGTTGGGTCCCAATTTTTTTAGGAAAAGAAAATCGACACAGATTGTGGTTATTTATGCTATGCACAGCTAGCTGGGCGGAATAGCTTGCCATGTTTGATTTCTCCAATGTTTCTGCTCTTATTCTTTTGTTTAAGCTACTTTCATACTTCGGATCATCTTTTTTGCACATGTGTACGAGAAGTGAATATTTCTTGTGCATAAATAATCATCGCCTATCGAAAATGCCAAGTGTAGAAGGCTGAAGTACGAAAGCAGTCTTGCGAGGATGGTACTCGTTCATCTTGGGCCTGTGACTTTCACACCTGAAGGCGTAGCCGTGGCGAACGCGGTCGACGGGCGGTAGTGTTCACAATTCGCGCATCCCTTGAACGCGGCCTCTACGCAGCCGCCTGCAAGGGCGGAAGAACTGCCGACTCGTCCTCGCTCGCTGTAGCCACGTTCTAAGGTAAGATGTCGGTCAGACTCGGTGATTGCGTCGCTGTACACCAGCGACGGAGTTGCCCGGCACAAGAGTGGCAGCAACGGGCGATGACTCAGCACACGATCGATATCGGTTGGCAGGGGGAGATTAATCATCCTCACCCATCGTTCATGTTGTTCTGCTCGGTTTTTTTTTCAAATTCTTAATCAGGATAGTGGTCCTCCCTGTCATTGTAATAACTTCAAAGGTATCTTGAAGTAACTAGCTCGAAACTTGATTGGTTCTTTGATCGAGTGGGAAAATCCATGATAGTTGTATTTCACAACTTCTTTTGGTGGGTCATTTCATCACGTCAATTATTACAGGACCACTTTCCTCGCATTGGCGTTGTCAGACTCTGCGGTTGGAGCGATTCGGTCAAATGTGAATCGCGCGATTCGCATTACTCCCATCATGACCAAATCGCTCCAATCGCAGAGTCTGACATCGGCCATTCAAGTGCATCCCACGCAGTCTTTTCCTGATTATATCCTATCCTGATTAAGAATTTGAAAAAAAAACCGAGCAGAACAACATGAACGATGGGTGAGGATGATTAATCTCCCCCCTGCCAACCGATATCGATCGTGTGCTGAGTCATCGCCCGTTGCTGCCACTCTTGTGCCGGGCAACTCCGTCGCCGGCGATTCCGTCGCTGGTGTACAGCGACGCAATCGCCGAGTCTGACCGACATCTAAGGAAAAAATCACAGAGCTTCCCTCATTTTAACTCGGACTAGCGAATTTTCACTCGCTTGAGTGTTGCGCTAGTGATGGTTTTGGACGTTTCCTTCACGTGTATTTTTCTCCTTATAATTTATTTTTAGCGAGCTGTGATTGATACATGAATTGCGATAAAATATTCACACACTTATGATGTTTCATTGTAAAATGAAAATCTGGAAGTCATTGTAATACGAAAGTCTTGTTCGTGCTTCTATTTTCTTTTTTTTCCGAGACGAAAGTAGTCGTATTTACTAGGTATTTCTTCATATCGTCAGGCTGCGGTCATACTTTGCGGCTCCGCACTATCCCATGATCGATATTCACTTGACAGAAAATCGCAGGATCGCAAGCAACAAACGCGAGCTTACCCTAGTGCAAACAATACACGGAATAACAATTTGATCCACTTGAGGATACAGACTACGAATTAACGCCTGTTTCGTGCAACGAGAGTTTTTATGCATCAGCAGTGGTTCAATAGGTAATCATGGCTAGTGTTGTGTTCCAAAATTCCAAGTTAACTATTTATATATCGCCTAGAAACTCGTGCATTAAACTATTGACTGCAGCCATTCTAATCCTTGTCTAGGTATTGCAGTAGCTCCTCGATGTCTTTTTTGCTTCCCATGTACAAGGGAGTTCGCTGATGTATTTCCTCGGGAACGACGTCGAGAACTGGACCCTGGAGTTCCAATACATTAACAAATTCCAAGCAAGACTATCATATATAACACACTTCATTTTACCTTTCCTGTAGTTGCGAGGCCTCCAGCCTGCTCGATGATAAAGCTTATTGGAGCACATTCGTAGAGGAGGCGAAGCTAAAATAAGCTATTCGAGAATGAATGCTGCAGGAGATCTAACAGATAGGAGATTTTATATAGGCAGATAATTTAAAAGAATACAAACAGACGAAAAATCAGGAGCAAATTAGCGGCTACAGGCGTAGGAGTGTCAATATGCACACTGGTCTGCCATTGGCTGATCACGCGTGTAGTCTTTTCATGCACATGCAGCCAATCACAGACGAAGAGGCGTTTTGGCAGCTTGTGCTGTTGACACTCGTGCTGCCTCAAACCCGGAGGCTGCCTGCCGCTCCATGTAGTGAGGAAGTTTTACGAGGAAAATGCGCGCGTTAAAGAAATTATTTGTTTCACCTTCCCGTTTGGAGCATCCTTGGTGGGAGGGTAGAGGAAAATCCCTCCATTCAGAATTGTACGGTGGACATCAGCCACCATTGACCCGACATAGCGTTGAACCATCGCTTTTTTACCAGGCTGTAATTTCCTCTTTTTATTGACGTAAAACAAACTGCAATACATTAATACCGTAACACATTGACACTTTCTCATATTACGAAAAGGAAACTACCGTACAGGCGGGAACTTTCTGGTATGAATATATTCAGTAAGTCCTTTAGACCAGTATTTTGCATATCCTTCGTTGATACTGTAGATCTTTCCTTTTTCAGGAACTCGCATACGAGGATGAGTGAGAATGAATTCGCCTATACTCTGCAATGAATTGTATTTATCAAGCACTTTCGGGAAGGGCTATTGGAGCAAAGGTTCCATGCGAGCGGCGGGTTTGAGGGGTATGTACCATGAACGTACCGCGCGCGACAATAACACGCGTCAGTTGGGGCGAGCCGGTCGTGTTGCTCACGCTGCGATTGAGGCAATCAGTGGCATGATCGTATGTTCAAATTGTTGTGCAATGAATGGGCATTTTGACTTATTTGTGCTGGACATGGCTTTTCTGTACCTATGGTCTAGCCCTAATCTGACCTCTACCTAATCTTGCGTTAGTCTCAGCCTGACCCACCCCTGATCTTAACTTACCCAATACCAACTGCCCTACCCTAACCCTTAGTAATTAGGTGAGCGCTAGGTTTGCTATGTAAGAGTAATACTTAGGTAGAGTGGCGCGAGGTTGCTCTTACCACAACTTGACCCGAGACAGGGGTGAGCTAATGTGAATTCGTAAGTATACCAGAATTAGTTCCGCGTCGATTCTATCCGAAACACATTTAGAACGCAACTATCTGAACAGCTGGTCAAGTCAAAAGGATGCCCCAACTGTAGCATGCCTGACATGACCGACTCGTCATACTTTCCATCATTCTTGTAGCATGCTAATGGCGGAGCGCATTTTCAGGCCGCTGTCAGACTGCGAATTCAGCGAATCTAGCGTGTCGGAGGATACGAGCAACGCGCCGGCGGTTCGAACGATGCGTCTGTGATTCTACAGCATGAAAAGTTTCCAGATTCTCTCTCATGCGCAAGTTGACTCTCGACCTTCATGCTCTCATTACAGTCGCTGCAGCATGACAAATCGGTGATGAGGGATGGTCGCAGAAGTACGACCCCCCACCTCCCCTGAAATCGAGGTCTTAGCACGACCCCTAAAACAGAGCATACGCAAAATCACAACAGCCGAGTGTATCGATCAACGGCCGATTCAACAGGCAGCTGCGGCGCGATTTGTCCCTGGGTCAGATTTGCTGAAATCCCGAAAAACCTTCGAAATAATAGGTTGGAAAGAAATTCTGCACACTGTAAATTTTCTTTTTTTCTGAAAACAATTCACACGAAAATAGATTAAAACTCATAAAAAAAAAAAAACACATAAAAACAAAAGAAAATAAAGACGTATCGAGATTCATCACGAAGTGATAAGTTCTAAGAAACACACAACTCATTATCCAAGAAATTCAAAAACCCGACCACTGTAAGCCATACTTACAGTAACTGTCTACATGTACATCTCAGAACTATGACTCAGGTAGACTAACAACCCCACACGAAACCCTATCTCTCCCCCCTCAAATGCTCAATAACCTGTGTCACGCTACAGCGGTCTTACACACCACTATCACTAAAACTAGAAGAATATAATAAACGAAACTTCATGATAATTCTTTTGTATTTTCATAAGAAGCAAAAGACGTACTAATCCCACACATCCATTACAGGTAGGGCTCTTACGGAAGCTCCACTACAAATTCTTCGTTATGGGCACCATTGTGTAGGTAGAGGTCTAGGCTGCGGAACTCCAGAAGCTGGCCGAGGCAGCTCGTCAGAGCCCTCGTACCGCGACAATATTTATTTCTTTCATGACATTGCGAATCACCATGATCCGAAATGAGCCCGGTAAGAAATTCTGGAGCTGCGGCAAGATTTCTTACCTCTCTTAGCGTATTCCCCTGGTCGAGCTATAAATGACTGCCACCTATCCTGGACCTTAAATCATCATCTTGATGACGAAATAATTAGACGATCAACTCCAACTCGAAAGTGAGGTCGCCTCCTTTCTCGACCCGCACTCCGCTGGGTTTTGGAAAGGAGCATCAAGAAATTTTCTGAGCGTTGAAGACAAGTGGTGGACACTCATGGTAGATATAAGACCGGTCAGGAGTTGTAAACAAAAAAGATAAAATTAAAATCAAAAATTTGAAAAAGTGTTGCAGGACTTTCTTTCCAACCTAATAAACACCCTTGATGAAAAGGTTCCATTCCTCCATTTCCCAACCTTTTGAACAGCACGCGGTAGGGTTAGATAGAGCTAGATTTGCTATGTACTATCAGGCAGTATTGAAATTGCTATGAAAGCCTTTCATTCGAAGAGATATAGTCTCTCAAAATCCTTTTTGCCACTTAAAAAGCAATATCTCTTCTAGTTCCGCAAGATCTTGACAAACCGAAGTTAGCTTCCTTCTACACTTTCTAGTTGAGGAGATATTTGCGTCGAGGATCTATCGAGGATGATTCTCGGCCGCTCAAAAATCCGCTCCCTTCTTCACCATTGCAAGTGTAATTCGTTGGCAACGCTCGAAATGTGTCTAGAATACATTCTTCCAACATAAGCAATAAGGAAAAGGGGCAATCGTCATCATCCGAATTTTGTCTGGGTATAGGCCATGCATCCGACCTCCACTCGAAGTTGCAGAATCGATTGAAAGGTGAAACTGCATTGTAGTAAACACATTTCGTAACTCCTATAACCTAAGGAACTTCATTTGCCCAGGGCTTTCCTTCACGGTTGTCGTTTTTGCGACAGCGTCCCTAACAACAGTGTCATTCTCAACGAGGTATTAAGGGAGAAGCGGGCGGTAGGTAGAGGAGGTGCCTTTGCAGCGCGTGTGCACATGTGACCCCGTTCCACTTTTTGAACTCTTTTTAAATACGTCGTAAAGGTAGAAGAATGGAGCGACTGAACCTGCAAGAATATTTTATATCATGTTTTTCACATATCTTCGTTTTCTGCTGCGCTACACCCTCTTACTCCTATCTGCACCACGATGCCACTGACGTTACTGACCCTCACGAGTACGACCCAAAGACAAAGATTTACAAGTCTGTAATAGGGGAGGAGGATTCTGCCAGGATCCAATTGGCAATTGAAGCGGTTGTTAGTTGGTCTAAATTCTGGGCCCTACCCTTAGCTCCTGAAAAATCTTCAGTTCTTCATTTGGGAAACTCGAACGTAGGTAGCACTTATTATGTTGATGAGTGCGAGCTCAAAAAGGTCAAGGAGATTAGAGATCTGGGTTTTATTATTGATAATAAATTGTCATTTGATTCTCATTGCAGGACAATAGCTAACAGAGCTCAAACCAGGCTCTTTCAGCTCCTCAGAAGCTTGTACACTAAGGACCCCGGTATCCTTATTAGGGCCTTCAAGGTGTACGTTCGCCCTATTTTGGAGTATGGTACTGTCGTTTTCTTCCCTCACTCGAAAAAATTGATTTCACTTCTTGAGGCGGTTCAAAACAGCTTTACGAGGAAGGTTTTCACTAGAACATTGGGTTTTAACTATTACGACATACCTAAGGGTCTTGTTAGAAATAAGATGCTTGGTCTTGAATCCCTCCTCTGTAGAAGGAAAATATTGGATCTGGTTACTGTTTATAAAATCATCACAGGCAGGATGCTGATAGAGAGTAAGGGCTCCTTCGTCCCTCTTCCGTCCCACACCAGAGGAGGTACGTTCAGACTGTTGCTTACTAAATCTAAGACTGGTATTCGTAGTAAATTCTTCTTAGCAAGGGCTTCATTGGAATTCAACAAATTTATTAAAAAGTTCGCAGTGCCTAGTAGCATCGCACAGTTAAAAAGAAATACGCATAAGTTTTACGTTTAGCAGATTACTGTCTTAGTATTTCGTTACTACTATTACTCTGGAGGTTGGTCACCCTTTGAGTTCTCTTATTTCCTCCACTTCTTAGCTTCGTTCTTCTCCATTTTTTAAATTTTGTTCTGGTTTGTATCGTTATCAATGTTATCAGTGTTGTTGTTTTCCTGACTGTTTCTTTCAAATTTGTTTCATGTACGCAAGGTACATGTACTATAAATAAATAAATAAATAAATA